AAGATTTTATCAATAATTTGTGATTTCGATACAATTAATAATTTATAGTTTGTATCCTAATATTTAATGAATATTAACAATAATTTGCATACTAATATCCAATATGTAATGGATATTGCACAACACAATAACCAATAATAATAGTCAAAGCTATTATTTATTAGCCACCTTTCTAAGTATATGGTAAGATTGTAGTGTAGTTCGAGAGTATGATGAATATTAGATAGTATAAAAAACAACATTTTTTCATATATAAATAGGATGCGGGTCATACGGGTGACCTGCAATTCACTCACCACCCACCCACATAAGTGCGGGTGAGAAATTTATCAATCCGCAATCCACCCACTTCGTACGGGTCGGGTTATTTGCGGGTGGATCGATATCAATCCACGGATTAATCACCCACGTGCCCGCCCCTAAATAAATTACTAATAATAACAATTAAATCATTACAAAATATTTAAAACAGCTACTAAATCCATCAAAACCACTACCAATTTAACGGGTCCGGATCAGGTCAGTAACCCTATCCTCAGTAACCGTGCGTAACCCCTTTCTCCATCCTCCACGTGTCTGCATCTGAGCCGTCCCCTTTTATTTAAATGGAACACGGAGGGGCAGTAGGGTAATTTGCATCCACCACTTATTTAATGCTGACGACCTGACACCTACTTTTGACCGAACGTGAACCCCACTCCCTGTCCCCCACATGTTTCCCTCTGTCACTCTTTTATCTATTATTAAAAGAAAAATTAAATTATTTCTTCTCTCTCCCATCTACAACTAAAAAAGAAAAAAATAGTACATGCTCTCTGCACACTAACTCTATCTCAAAAACAAATATGAATTCAACAATCTCAGCTCTCTGTACTCCAACTCCAACTCAAATTGAATGATGATTTTTTCATTTAATAATTCTCTGCCAAGAAGGGTAATTACAAGTATGAATATGACTATCACTTTCTACTACTATGGTACAACATGACAAAATATGCTAAAGAAAATTACAAATCTAATTACCATATAATAACATATGGTATAAATGCTAAAATAAAATTAGAAATCTAACTACCATACAATACCACATGGTATAACGTGGTAAAACATGTTACAAAAAATTATAAATCTAAATATCATACAATACCACCATAGTAGAACATGGGCTTCTACCAAAAAAAATAGTAGAACATGGTAAATCGAATGATCATAAAATAATCATAATTACCATACAATACCACATGGTAAGAGAACGTAAAACCATTTAAAAATAAATATAAATATAATTACCATCATCTACGACCATAGTAAAACATGGTATGCATAAAAATACATTTAGTTACCACACATTACCATATGGTATAGTGTGGTAATCTCAATATATATATATATACATATGGCAAAGGCTAGCGTACGTACGCTAGCCTACCGTACGCCCCATTTAACGTACGTCCGAACGTACGTTAGCCTGAACCATCTATATATATATATATATATATATATATATATATATATATATATATATATATGGGTGATTCTATCATACCTTGGGTAAAATCAAGGGTACAACATACCTTGAGTAAAAAAATGATATCTAGACCTCGAATTGAGCATAGTTTGGTGTCTGATATTATTCCCAAACCCTTAAGGATTAAAATCTAGGTCTTAGTTTTATAAATCTCATCACTAAGATCAATTTAATTAGAAACAAAAATCAACGGCTATGATTTGTCGAAATATATGCAACAAATTACAGGCACAATCTTAGGGATTAGGCTCTTTGATTTAGAAATCTAAGACCTAGGTTTCAATCATCAAGGGTTAGAGTATAGTATCATGTCCAAAAATCCGGTTAATTCGAGGTCTAGATAGCATTTTTTTACTCATGGTATATCATACCCTAGATTTTACCCAAGGTACGATAGAAGCCACCATATATATATATATATAGTATACGCCTGACGTACACCAGTCATCACCATATATGGGTCAGACTGGCGTACGTCAGACGTATACTATACGTCAGGTACTACTAGTGAGATATCTCTATCTAGACCAAGAATTAAATCGAGTTTGGGGTTTGATACTATACCCTAACCTCTAATGGATAAACCCCAGGCACCGATTTTCTAAACCCCAACCCGAAGTTTGATTTAATGAAAAACAAAAATTGACCGTTGAGATCTGCCAGAGCTCATCTAAGTACATCTAACGGCTAGATCACCTGACATATAGTATACGCCTGACGTACACCAGTCATCACCATATATATATATATATATAGGGAGTTCTACTGTACCCAGGGTGAAATCCGGGGTACCGCATACCTTGAGTAAGAAAACGCTATCTAGAACTTGAATTGACTAATCTTTCGGACATGATACTATACTCTAACCCTTAAAGATCAACATCTAGGTCTCAATTCTCTAAATCTTATACCCCAAGATCAATTTAATTAGAAACAATAATCGACGGTTATGATTCGTCCAAATATAGGCAAAAAATCAATGCACCATCTTAGGGTTTATAGTTTATAATTTAGATAATTAGGACCTATGGTTCACTCATTAAGGGTTAGGGTATAGTATCATGCTCAAAAATCCTGCTAATTCGAGACCTAGATAGTGTTTTCATACTTAAGGTATGCGGTACCCTAAATTTCACCCGGGGTACCGTAGAAGGCACCATATATATATGGTAATGTATATATATATCTAATTACGACTTTATTTACTTTCTTGTCCTCTTCATTGTCTTCTCACTCTTCTTTCCCTGAACTGGGGTCGATGACCACCTTCTTACCACCATGGTAAGACATGGTAACCATAAAAATACGTTCAGTTACCACACATTAACCTATGGTATAGTGTGGTAACCACAATAAACATCTAGTTACCACATAATACCACCATGGTAAAACATGGTAACCTTAAAAATACGTTTAATTACCACACATTACCATATGGTATAGTGTGGTAACCACAACTGGGGTCGATGACCACATTCTTACCACCATGGTAAAACATGGTAACCATAAAAATACGTTCAGTTACCATACATTACCATATGATATAGTGTGGTAATCACAATAAACATCTAGTTACCACATAATACCACCATGGTAAAACATGGTAACCTTAATAATACGTTTAATTACCACACATTACCATATGGTATAGTGTGGTAACCACAATAAACATCTAGTTACCACATAATACCACTATGGTATAGTATGGTGACCACAATATACATCTCAGACATACTTCACATGCTCATCTTCTGCATCCTCTCATTTTCTCCTCTGCGTTTGAGAACACAAAAATACAAATGAGGAAGATTGGAATTGAAAATCCACAAAAAATACTAAAGCATAAAACATGCAAACTCGACTCACCTAAATCTTTCCCGTCTTGATCGATATGGAGCTTCATCAAATTTGAGGTCAATGACTTGACAAAGAGAAGAAACATAATGAAAGAAGGAGAATTCACTTTTCCCTCGTCCATTTCGGTGGGGGGAAAAAAAAGAGGAGGGAGCAACTCGAGAGAAGAAGGATCTCGAAGAGAAGAAACGCAATGAAAGAAGGAGGCTGCACTTTTCTTTCGTCGATTACTGAAGAAAAAAATGAAGAACTGAAGAAGAGATCAGATCTGGAGAAGAAGAAGATTGGGAGAGAGAAAGAAAGAGAAAAGATGAAAGAGGAAAGGAGAGTTTCAGAAAAGAGGAAAAGTTGCATTCTCTCTCCTCCATTCAAATTAGCTAATAAATGCTGGGCAAAATAAAATAAAGGAAAGAATACAAAATTAAAGCAACGGACGAAAATACCCCTGACCATCTCCGCATCCATCTCGACCGCACAATGAATCCGTCCAAATCAACGGTCTCTAGATGGTTACTGATGAGTGAGTACCCAACTGTTACTCACCCTATCCTCAGCCCAATTTAACTAGTACTTTTTCACAAGCTATTTTTTTTTGGAGACAAAACATATATTTTAAAATTCTAAAATTTTCATTAATTTAAATTCTAAAATACTTAATATACCCTCCACTACATATCACCTTCAGATTCAATTAAAATTAATGAATAATGATTAAAGAAGTTAATATGGTGCTAACCCTATTAAATTACTGAATCGCTATTCGTCGCCCTAAAATTCAAAAATAATCGCCGTAAACCACCCTAAATTGACATATCTATCCTTAATCCCAATTCTAACCTAAACCCTAGCAAACAATCCCTCCCCTCAACCCCAGGTTCCAAACCCGGCCCTCACATCTAGGCAAAATAATGTCGCTGCCGTCGCCGCCCTAGACTGATCCCACCGCCCACCCAAGAACTGCTCATGTCCGCCGTCTAGCTGCATTCTTGATATTGCTGTCGAGCAAAAGGAGAAAGGAGAACTGCTAGAAAGGAGAAATGCTATCCTTCTTTTTTTTATTTTTTTGGTGAAAGAACAGCTATCCTTCTAGCGGTACATGACAAAGTTCTTAAAGCAGGGTTCATCATCTTATGTTAATCTATCATTATATTTCTTACGAGAAGTGGCTAATACAATCATGACCATGATATGTACAAGGACTGAAGGAAGGGAAGGACATTTCTGTGGCGACCATGATTGGGCTTCCGGTGAGGTTCGCCGACTCCGGGCTCCGGCACTCGTGTGATTGTTTTAGGGTTTAAAAGTGTTTGAAAGACAAAAAAAATAAATTAAGGTTTCTACAAAAAAAATTAAATTAAGAACAGTAGTGTAAAATTATCATAATTAGCGCGACGAATAAGGATTTTTAGGACGTCGAATAGCAATCCCTTAAATTAGCGCTCCAGCTTCTCCCACTATACAATCATTGCACGAAGCCAAACCTCTGAAACATGCGAGGCCACAACCATTGAGCAGGATGAATGTTCTCATCTACACAAATCGGGTTAGAGCCCATCTGACGCGATACCCTCCCATGTTTTGAGGCCCAATCCATAGCATTCAAAACCTGCGGAAAACTGCCCCAAGCCCAAATCAATGGGTTCACTTGCAGAGTTGCAGTGCAGCGAGGGGCTCACGCACTGGAGCGAGAAATCAATAGATTGAAGAACTTTCTGAACGAAACGGAAGCGTGGACTGGACTAACTCATAGCTATCATCTTCTCCATTTGGGAACGGCGAGGGACAAAGACAGGAAAGGCCGGACGACGACCACCAGCCACCGCAGCGAGCAGATCCTTGGTCGTTTTCTCCTTCTCGCAGCGGCGGACGGATGCAATGATTGCTGTGGTGATAGAGCGCGGGGGTTGTCGGATTTGATTTGAGTTTGGACATGAATCTCTCATTATCTTCTTCCACTTCTCTGTCGCCTACCTCGTCCCCGTCCTCGTCTTCCGCCGGCGGCGGCGGAGGAACCTCATGGTTCTCCGGCATTGTTCGCGGGCGTGCTGATAGGTCCGGGAGCATGAAAATGGCCGGTAATTTGCCCGCTGCCGAGAATGCTGGACCGATCAAAGGCAAGAACCAGTTTCGCGGTTTGCTGTTCAAGTATGGCCCCCAGCCTATTCAGGTAATTGCTGGAAAACCGATACGTTGATATTTTTCAAGCCCGTCATGGTGCTGTTGAATTGTCAAATCCATCTTCAATGGCCGAATTTAGGGTCCGGCGAGTAGGTAGTTAGAACAGATTTCAGCATTAGCTTAATTAGCATGGATCTGATGTTAGATGAAGAAGGATTATGTGCAATCAATTCATTGTTTGTGATAAGTTCTAGTTGGTGCCAGTGACCAGATTGAGTTTCCAGAGGTTTAGCCTCCTCATAATCTGGATCAATTGTTCTGAAATTGTTGTTCATGGTGATATGCTTTCCTGGAGGATGAGAGCTTTTGCCCCTAAGGAGTCTGAACTCGTGGCTTCTTGAAGTTTTCGTCTTTCTGCCATTTCTCTTCTTGTAGTGAACAATGAAAACTACTCTAGATTCTTTCTTCTTCTTGCTTGACATTGTTCGCTTTAATGTAGGGATACCCTGAAAACGACTGTTCTGGATACATCCACTGTGAATCTGTGATGCTTGAATGACTTTGTTGTTTGGTTTGTGCAGGTTGCATTCAAAACGGGAGAACATAAACAACAAGTCATTTTCATTGGTGGCTTGACTGACGGTTTTCTTGCAACTGAGTATGTATTGGCAGTGTTAATTCATTTCGTTGTATTACGTCTCCACTCTGCCGAATCTTTGGAAAAAAAGGAGATGAATTGCCATTGATTGATTGTGGATAGTTGAGTTGCACATATTGATGACAGAATGATGGGACTTTGTAGTCACTGACATCACTTTCTTCATCTCATTTTGGGCTTTAGATATTTGGAACCTCTTGCAATTGCCCTGGATAAGGAGAAATGGTCACTTGTTCAGTTCCTCATGTCATCCTCTTATAGTGGATTTGGCACTTCCAGCTTGAAGCAAGTAAGCATTCTTCTATTTGTGTATTACTCATGATGTCCTGATTCATGTGTTTGCCACTGAACCCCCTGATTTCCCCCTTTTTCTTTGTTATTTTTCTGTGTGTTTTATTTTTATTTTATATCTCACTGCTTGGTCATTGTATAATCAAGGATGCCACAGAGCTAGATCAGCTGATAAGTTATTTCATCAACAAAGAAGACTCCGAGGGGGTGATTCTTCTTGGGCATAGTACTGGTTGTCAGGTATTTTGTGATTTCAGACTTGTAGGGTGCATTCGAAGCTTCTTTTCTCTACATATTTATGTGTTTCTTTGATGCAACAAATCTTCTGTCTTTGTTTTACATGATTTAGGATATTGTGCATTATTTGCGTTCCAATGCTGCATGCTGCAGAGCAGTACGTGGTGCCATTTTGCAGGTAAGTCATCGAGTTTTGTTAAGATGTGCGCAAGTTTAAAACTTTGTACACAAATCATGCTGCAACACTAAAGCAGGCTGTAGGTAGTGTTCTATCTTGATACTACACTCTTTAGTGAACCACTTAAATGACTCTTCCAATTGATATTCAACAATCCAGCATGCTTTTCATTTCTTAACTAGCTCAAGTGCTGATGCATCTTTTCCTGGAACAGAGTACAAATGTGCTCCATTTGCAAGCTTTTACTTACTATCCTAGCTCTTTTTCAGGCTCCAGTTAGTGATCGGGAATACAAAGCAACTCTACCAGAAACAGCTGCCATGATTGATTTGGCTTCATCTATGATAGCAGAAGGCAAGGGTTCAGAACTAATGCCCAGAGAAGCTGATCCCTGTGCTCCAATAACTGCTTACAGGTAGCCCTATGAATCTGGCCCTTGCTATGATGTCTTCATCTATCTCTGATACCGAAGGCGTAGAGTTTACTTTATGCTCTTTGGGGTAGCTTAAAACAAAAACAAAAGGAGTAATTTTTTATAAGTTATACCAGATATGAAGAACTGTGTTATGTGTTTAAGAAAAATTAAACATAATTGATGAAATGGTAGATAAATTGTTCAATAATAAAGCATCCTGTCATGGATATAATCTGAAAAAATATAGATTTTTATTTCAAAGCGACAAGGTTCAGGATGAAATTTTGTTAGCGATATGGCTTTAGCTTTTGAAGTTAGGAGATTTTATGCGAATAGTTATTCCAAAAAGTTACATGGAAATTAAGTGTTTTAATTCAAGTTTTTATTTTTCTCTCAAAAAAAAAAAATTCAAGTTTTTATTTTAAGTTACTTAGTTCTTAGCTAAACACAAACATACCCTTCATGTATATCCTAGGCTGTTTAAATTATTTTATACATTTAGGAGTTGCTATATCAGAAACTTCAATTACTATTACCACTTTGCAGGTATCACTCCCTTTGTTCTTATATGGGCGATGACGACATGTTTAGTTCTGATCTGACTGACGATCAACTAAGATTGAGGCTTGGGCACATGTGCAATACACCTTGCCAGGTACGGAATATAAATCTCAAGATGTTCCCTTTTGCCTATTTGACCAAGATAGATATGGTTGATGGAATGCAGAACAAGGAATTAGCAGTAGAAACTTTCTATAGATGTTTTTTGTTCAATGACAGTAATTCAGTGTGTTCGGTTGATAATAAGCAGGTTATCTTTTCGATGGGCGATGAATATGTGCCAGATTATGTTGACAAAAAAGCCTTGGTAGAAAGGTGAGAAACTTGAAGTTCTTGTTATGAATGTGTGCATACATGTAATACCCCTTTGATTCCACGAGACAAAGATCTTATTTTTCCCATTGCGGGGTGTGGAGGGGAACAGGCTGTGCAGAGTAATGGGAGGGGCAGAGAAAGTTGAAATCGAGCATGGGAATCACTCCCTCTCGAATCGAGTTGATGAGGTTCTGAAGGCAGTCATGGATTTCATCAATGGAGAAGGTCCCAAAGGCTGGGACGATCCATGGGCTTAATTAAGCTATAGCTTACACAGTTATTATTTAATTGTCTTTTCATTTTTTTCCATCTTCCTATTGAAATTCATTTATGGTGTTTTCGTTCATCTCATCTTCCTGCTATTTGTTAGTCTAATGAACAGAACTCTGTTGCAAATGCTGAAACACTGTAAAAAAAAAGAAGGAAAAAAGAGGCCATAGTGTGGGTTGAGTGGCATTGAAGTCACCACCAGCATTCAGTTTTGTAGTGTACATTGCTGAAACTGGAATGAATCCCTTGTTATATTCTCTTATAATTGGATTGGATTACAAGTGAAATTTATGTGTCTTCATTCGATATACTCAAGGAAGGCTTGTCCTTATTTGCGTCTCTGTCAGGTTGTAAGAGAGCGGATCCAGTGACTAAGGGGGGGTGCTTAGTCACTTGACTAAGTCCCTCCCAGCCCTTAGATCTGGACACTTCAATCCAATGGTTAAAAAGTGGGAAGGACTATTTAATTAATAACAGGGTAGTTTGGGTATTATGAAAAATTACAAAGTATACAAACCGGATTTACAATCAGTACAAACCTTACAAACATACGAACAGTACAAACTAGAGCGACAAAACATACAAACATTACAAACGTATGAACTGTACAAACAATACAAACTAGATTGACAAACAATACAAACCATACAAAAAGAAAAAACAACCGGGTTGACTTTGGAGGCTCCATCCCTATATAGAGGGGCTCCTTCCCAAAGTCAACCCGGGTGCTTTTTAGACATACAAATAGTACGAACATGGTGGACAAAAATGACAAACTAGACCGACAATCCATACGAACGGAAAAAACACCCGGGTTGACTTTGGAGGCTTCATCCCTATATAGAGGGGCTCCTTCCCAAAGTCAACCCGGGTGTTTTTTAGACATACAAACAGTACGAACATGGTGGACAAAAATGACAAACTAGACCGACAATCCATACGAACTAGAAAAAACACCCGGGTTGACTTTGGAGGCTTCATCCCTATATAGAGGAGTTCCATCCAAAAGTCAACCAGGTTGTTTTTTAGACATAAAAAACATTACAAACATGGTTGACAAAAATGATAAACATGGTGCACAAAAATAACAAAGTTTACAAACATTACAAAAAAAAACCGACAAACATTACAAAATAACAAAGCGTACAAACATTACAAAATAAACCGACAAATAGTACAAAGCATACTAACCGTACAAAAGGTCACTAAAAATTACAAACAATACAAACCGAATCTATACAAACATTACAAATTCCAACACTGTCGCCGGAAAATTTCCTCCGGGTCGCCGGGAATTTTTCTCCGGTCGCCGGAAAACTCCCTCTCCCTCTCCCTCTCCCTCTCCCCTGGACAAGATAATGGCTCTCTCAATTCCCCTGGACAAGATAATGGCGCTCTCTCTCTCAATTCTCCTGGACAAGATAACGAGGCATGAGTGGGAGAATTCCCCTGGCCGGCCATTTAACAAAATAATGGCGGAGATTCTCCTGGACCACCGCCGACAACGACGGAGACGGGAGGCTGCGAGAACGGAAACGGAAAAGCATGCACTTTTTTTTTCATTTTATAATTAAAAATTAAAAATAAATATATAATTACTATACTGCCCTTCATTAAATTGGATTAATTGAAGCCCTTGGATTTTAATGAGGTTGAGTGGCTGAGATTTACTTAGCCATGTGACTAAGGGGACCCCCCTTAGTCACCAGATCTTAGCCCCAGGTTGTAACGATCCATTGCAACACATTTTTGGAGTCAGGTACCAACCATACAGTAATGATTCTTGAATACCAAGCCACCAAGGTAGTGCATTTATTTGTCTTCTTTTCAGTTCTTTACCTTGAATTCCTTAGTACGCAATGCAATTTTTACTCCATAGCTACTGAGAGTGCAAGACATTCTGTTTTTCGTAGTTAAGTTGCTTCTGAATGTAACCTCGCAAACATTTTCATTAGATCGTGATGATACGATTAATGTCAACGTTGAGTAATGCAAGGTTTAAAAAGGCGTAAGGTGGGCGTTGAGGTTTTGCCTAGCGCCTAGCTTGCCTAGGCGTAAACTAAACGTGACTAGGCGTTGGAAGAAAATTAGTTATGTGCACTACATGATGAATGAAATAATAATCTACAACACTTCCTCGCTTTAGTTAAAATGATTAATAACTTACTCAACACTAAATGACAAGAACATAGCTCACGAATTCATAAAATCATAGTTCAATAGCTCACAAAGTTCTTGAGATATTGAAAATATTGATATAGAAATTTGATTTCGTAGTTAATGTTAATTTTCTCCTTAATATTGACTTTCTAGCTCCATCTAGTAATGGAGTAATGATTCTTGAATACCAAGCCACCAAGGTAGTGCATTTATTTGTCTTCTTTTCAGTTCTTTACCTTGAATTCCTTAGTACGCAATGCAATTTTTACTCCATAGCTACTGAGAGTGCAAGACATTCTGTTTTTCGTAGTTAAGTTGCTTCTGAATGTAACCTCGCAAACATTTTCATTAGATCGTGATGATACGATTAATGTCAACGTTGAGTAATGCAAGGTTTAAAAAGGCGTAAGGTGGGCGTTGAGGTTTTGCCTAGCGCCTAGCTTGCCTAGGCGTAAACTAAACGTGACTAGGCGTTGGAAGAAAATTAGTTATGTGCACTACATGATGAATGAAATAATAATCTACAACACTTCCTCGCTTTAGTTAAAATGATTAATAACTTACTCAACACTAAATGACAAGAACATAGCTCACGAATTCATAAAATCATAGTTCAATAGCTCACAAAGTTCTTGAGATATTGAAAATATTGATATAGAAATTTGATTTCGTAGTTAATGTTAATTTTCTCCTTAATATTGACTTTCTAGCTCCATCTAGTAATGGTTAGGAGAGACTTATATGTCACCTTACTTCATTCACGTGTTCCAGTATCTAAATAGGCGTGAAACTTCTAGGCGAGGCGTTTTGCCATTGCCTTGCGCCTAAACGTGACTAAGTGGAAGGTTAAACGTGTCATTTTTAACCATGGAGTAATGCAACGGTGTTAGTACGCTCTATGTTGAACCCTGAGGGCTTGCCTAATAGAGGAAATTTGGTCATTTCATTATTAATTATTATGGTCTAATCACTTAGTTAGAGGACAACAATATATTATGGAGGTTCTCCTCTGGGAACTGTCACGGACCCACTCTTGGCCGTGCGGCACTTAGCACTCAAGTCTCGTTAGAGCGCTAAGTCAGCCTTGCTCGTATTCACTCAAACTCACAAGTATGGAGAAATGCTCTAGAGATGGAAACTCTCAATTTCTGGATGAATGAAAAGTGGTGGAGAGGGCTGCTTATATAGGCATCCTCTCCACTAAGTAAAATGTACATGGCCGTCATAAATGAACGAACCTAGATAGTCCCCCCATACATGAACCAGTCCCATACATGAATGTAATAAATAAGGTGCATGAATAAAAGATAGAAAAGGGGGATGCATGTACATTGGTGCATGAATCGGAAGATGCATGCATGTACTTGCATCGTTCTAGAATCTTCCGCGTAACATTCTCCCCCACTCAATCTCGCGACACCCTCGTCGCGGACTCCGCATGAAATGCCTCGATCAAGTATTTGTGACGCCATAGCGAAAGCTCCTTCTCCCATGAGATGTCGCTTCCTGGCCGCCCCTTCCACTTGACAAGATACTCCGCGTAGCTTGGGTGAACACCACGCCTAGGCACAACACGATGAGCCAAGATCTCCTCCACTTCGTGTTCATGTGTTGTGGTGACGCGAGTTGGTGCCCTCGTCGACTCCCTCCTTGCTCCATCTTCCTCGTCTTCATGATATGCCTTCAATTGACTCACATGGAAGACGGGGTGAATCTCCAAATGCGATGGCAACTCAACTTTGTACGCCACCGTGCCAATCCGCTTCAAGATCGGATATGGCTCTTCATACCGTCGCAGCAGCCCCTTGTGCACATTTTTGAGGTGCTTGAATCGATGAGGGAAGAACTTCACCATCACCAAGTCTCCCTCCTCGAATTCCAAGTGACGCCGCTTCTTATCCGCCCACTTCTTCATCTTCTTCGTTGCTCGAGCGAGATAAGACTTCGCCAACTCCATCTTCTCGTGCCATCCTCGTGCAAACTTGTAGGCAGATGGGCTATTGCCCTTGTACCCCGTCGTCACCGTATTAGGTGTCAACGGCTGCTGGCCAGTCGCCAACTCGAACGGGCTCATGCTCGTGGCTTCACTTCGGTGTAAGTTGTAGGAAAATTGGGCTACATCCAATAGCTTCACCCAATCCTTCTGGTTGGCACTCACATAATGCCGCAAGTAGACCTCCACCAAAGCATTGACCCGCTCGGTTTGCCCATCCGTTTGAGGATGAAAGCTCGTGGAGAAGTTCAGATCGGAGCCCATCATCTTGAACAACTCCCTCCAAAACTTGCCGGTGAAGCGGCCATCTCTATCGCTGACGATGCTAACCGGGATGCCCCAATACTTCACAACATGCTTGAAAAACAAGCGGGCTGCATCCTCGGCCGTCATGTCTTTGGGCCCTGTGATGAAGACGCCATACTTCGAAAATCGGTCGACGACGACCATGATGGAACCACACCCTTCGACTTTGGGAAGGCCGATGATGAAATCCATGCTCACGCTTTCCCAAGGCCGTTGTGGAGTGGGTAATGGCTCCAACAAGCCCGCCGGACTCCGCTACTCCATCTTGTCTTGCTGGCAAACAAGACAAGTCTTGACGTAGAGTTCCACGTCGTCCTTCATACGAGGCCAATAGTAAGCCTCCTCGATGAGAGCTTGTGTGCGCTCAATGCCGGGATGACCAGCCCACTTGGAGTCGTGGCACTCCTTCATGATCTCCCTTCGTAGGTTGTCCCACCGCGGCACAAACACTCGCTCCCCCTTAGTCACGATGAGCCCACCTTTCATCCAAAACCGCCGAGTCTTCCCTTGCTTGATGTACTCGACCACGGTTTTGGCGAAGGGGGCGTGGCTAAGGCCTTCTTCAATCCTCTCCTTCAAGGGGAATTGCGGATGGCTGATGGCGGCAAGTGCGCTCTTTCGGCTAAGAGCGTCGGCAACAAAGTTGGCTTTCCCCGGCTTGTACTCCAGCACAAAGTCGAACTCCGCGAGGAAGTCTTGCCACCTTGCTTGCTTGGGCGTGAGCTTCTTCTATGTGAGGAAGTAACTCGTCGCCACATTGTCTGTCTTTACAACGAACTTCGACCCAAGCAAGTAATGCCTCCACGTTCTCAAACAATGGACCACCGTCGTCATCTCCTTCTCTTGCACCGCATATCTTCTCTCGGCCTCATTGAGCTTGCGGCTCTCAAAGGCAATTGGGTGCCCTTCTTGCATCAATACTCCACCGATTGCAAAATCGGAGGCATCTGTTTGCACTTCATACGCCTTGGTTGGATCGGGAAGTGCTAGCACCGGCTCCTTCGTCACCGCATCCTTCAAGGCTTCAAATGCTTCGCGGCACCGATCCGACCATTCCCAAGCCTTGTTCTTCTTTAGAAGATCCGTCAAGGGTGCTGCAAGAGCGGAGTATCCCTTGATGAATCTCCTATAATAGTTGGCCAGGCCGAGGAATGATCGCAACTCGGTGACCCTCGTCGGTGGCTCCCATCCTTGTATCGCCTCCACCTTGGCCTCGTCCATCTTTAGCTTGCCTCCGCCGATGATGTGGCCGAGGAAAGGAACCTCCGCTGCTGCAAACGTGCACTTCTCCTTCTTGACGTAGAGCTCGTTGTCTCGAAGGACTTGAAACACTTGTCGCAAGTGCTCGGCATGCTCATCGAGTGTGTTGCTGTATACCACGATGTCATCCAAATACACCACCACGAAGCGATCCAAGAACGGCTCGAAAACTTGGTTCATCAAGGTGCAAAAAGTAGCAGGAGCGTTGGTTAGTACAAAAGCCATAACAAGGAACTCGTATGAGCCATACCTCGTGACGCAAGCGGTCTTTGCCTCGTCCCCCTCGGCGATCCTCACTTGGTAGTACCCCGAGCGAAGATCAAGCTTCGTGAACCACTTTGCTTCTCCGAGTTGATCAAACAAGTCACCAATATTGGGGATTGGCCACTTGTTCTTCACTGTGAGCTTGTTAATAGCTCGATAATCGATGCACATCCGCAACGATCCGTCTTTCTTCTTCTGGAACAACACGGGTGCTCCATAGGGGGATTTCGATGATTGGATGAAGCCATCATCCATAAACTCCTTGAGTTGCTTCCTCAATTCCTCCAACTCGGGAGGGGCCATGCGATAAGGTGCTCTTGCTGGTGGCGTCGCTCCTTGCTCAAGCTCGATCTTGTGTTCGACTTCTCTTCTTGGCGGGAGCTTCTTTGGTAGTTCCTTTGGCATCACATCTACGAACTCCTCCAACACGCCCTCGATGAGAGGCGTTGGCGCCACCGAGCCTCCTTCTTCCTTCGCTCGCAAAGTGACAAGGAACGTGGGTTCCATCCTCTTCATTCCCTTCACCAATTGCATGGCCGATAAAGCTCTTTTCGGCCCTTCTTCGCGCAACATCTTCACCGCGCAAAATTTATCTCCCTTGTCAAGGCAGAGAGTGTTGGAATTCATCGCCATCACCGCGCCCTCCTTCTCCATGAAATTGACGCCAAGAATGACCGGATGGTCATCCATAGTGATGATGCTAAAGTTGGCAACACCTTCCCATCCTTCAATCTTCAATGGCACGTTCTTAGCAACGCCATGGATGGGTATTGCCTCCGAGTTGACGGTCTTGAGCGATCCTTGCCTCTTCTCGTAAGCGATCCCCAAGCGCTCCGCCTCCTCTACTCGAAGGAAGTTGTCGGTCGCACCGGTGTCAACCAATGCTTTTGACTCGCCTCCCTCGAATTGGGTGATTACAAAGAATCTCCCCTTGCTAACTTCGTTGGCGCCGGACTTCGCCGCGCCTAGTCTCCGCATGGAGCCTATCTTCCCTTCGTCTTCTCTAGCATTCTCCTTGGTCTCCCCTTCTTGTTTCTCCAAGGCTGCTAGTTTGCTCTTCTTTGGGCAATCTCGCACCTTATGTGGACCGTTGCAAAGGAAACAAGACATGGGTTTATCATGGTTACCAGATCTTGCTCCCTTGCTCGAGCCTCCATGTTGGTACGAGCCTTTCCCCTCTTTTGAGTGCTGCCGATGATCTCCTCCCTTGCTCTTCGAGTTCTTTGACTCGTTCGGCCGCTCACTCTTCTTGTACGCCGCTCACTCTTCTTGTACTCCGTGAGAGCCTCTGCCGTTGCCAAGGCAGTAGCAAGATCTTGCACTCCACGCCTCTCAAGCTCCAACTTCGCCCAAGGCTGCAATCCGAAAAGGAAGCTAAACAAAGCCTCCTTGTCCGGCATATCGGGGATCTCGAGTAGCAATTCCGAGAACTCCTTGACATAGTCACGAATTCCGCCGGTGTGGGTGAGTCGTCGAAGCTTTGCACGAGCCTCCATTTCGACATTCTCTGGGTATAATTGTCTTTTGATTTCCCGACGGAAATCCTCCCATGTGTCCATCACACTTGTGCCTCTCTCTATATCACCTTGCCTCCTTCTCCACCAAACCATGGCCGTGTCGACCAAGTAAAGGGAGGCAGTGCGCACCATGACTTCATTATCATTGATGCCCGAAGCCTTGAAATATTGTTCTAGGCTCCAGAGGAAATTCTCTAATTCCCTCGCATTCCTCGACCCACCGAAGTTCTTAGGCCTTGGAACATCTACTCGTGGTGTGGATTGAGGCGTGGCAGGTCCGTTAGCCACGGCTCGTTTGACGAGATTGAGCTCTCCTCGAAGCTCGTCAAATTCTTCCCGCACTTCGTCCACCTGGCCTCGAATGGTCTCCCTTAAGGAGTCGATGGCGTTGGTGATGATGGTCACAAACTCGTCTCTGAATGCTTCTAACCCCACCTCCAAGCCTGACATTCGAGTGCCCATGCCTTGCATATCGTCCTTCGAAGTCTGCACCTCTCCGCTGACTTGATCGAATTTCAACTCCATGTCCTCGAACAAGGTTGTATGCTTGGCAATCTTCGTCTCTGCCCTCTTGAGCCTCTCCTCGATTGCCACCAAAGGCTCTCGAGTTGATCTATCACGATGCTTCTTGGCATTTGGATCCTTCTTCTCCTCACGACCGCGTTGTTCCTCATTGTTGAGAACTTCGCTTCCGGATCCAGCCATCTCCTCGAGGTTCTTTCTCACTTGATGAGCTACGACCTTGGCTCTGATACCACTTGTCACGGACCCACTCTTGGCCGTGCGGCAATTAGCACTCAAGTCTCGTTAGAGCGCTAAGTCAGCCTTGCTCGTATTCACTCAAACTCACAAGTATGGAGAAATGCTCTAGAGATGGAAACTCTCAATTTCTAGATGAATGAAAAGTGGTGGAGAGGGCTGCTTATATAGGCATCCTCTCCACTAAGTACAATGTACATGGCCGTCATAAATGAACGAACCTAGATAGTCCCCCAATACATGAACCAGCCCCATACATGAATGTAATAAATAAGGTGCATGAATAAAAGATAGAAAAGGGGGATGCATGTACATTGGTGCATGAATCGGAAGATGCATGCATGTACTTGCATCGTTCTAGAATCTTCCGCGTAACAGAACCCCTTAATTTTACTTTTTCTCAATGTTGTCAAAATCGGACCGGGTATCGATCCGGATTAATAAGAGGTTTAAGGTTTATCGACTAACCGTTGTTTAACCGGTATTGTGAACCGGTCATAAAACCGGTAAGATACAATATGTCAAAAAATTATGGTTTGATGGTAATTACAAAGCCTAAATTAAAATAACGAAGTATGAAATTTAGAGGAGTAAACAACAAAAACGGTGTGGTTACTTTGGAATTTTTATATGTTTCTTGATGATAAAAATCAAATTGAGACGAAAAAAGGGTCATGATCAAATGCCCAATTAGGACGTCTGTGTCTTAATAGGAAAGAGTTTATGTGGCTGGAGACATCATATGATTTATTGGGCTGTAATTATAGGAAAGAATTTTTTTTATGGAAAACCTATTTACGGAAATAGTTAGCGTTATAATATGAAAGAGTTGATATTTTTAAAATCAATAGCAATTAACTGGGAAAATAAATTATTGGATTTCAACTAATAGAAAAGAGTTAGTGTTTTAATAGGAAAGATGTAGTATTTTGATGATTAATAGAAATTAACAAGAAATTATTGGGTTGTAATTAATGTGGAAAACCTAATAACCCAATTAGAGGTGAGATGGTTCTAAATTACCCACATCACGCTTCCGCCAATTTAACTTACTTGTTGGGTCATTAATGCAGTATTGATTTTTCCCTTTTCTAATTCAAAATTTCCTTTTTCAGGCCTGTGTTTTTCATTTTTAAAATGTCAATTAGAAAAGGTAAAAATAGTATCAAAACCGCCGGTTCGGGTTTGCCGGTTATCCGGCTAAACCGGTCGAGATTCGGCCGGCTGTATTTCTCTCCGTTTTAAGCATTCCGTAACCGGATTACTGTCCGGATCCGGTTTTCTCCGGTCTGACCGGCCGGTCTGGAACGGTTTTGATAACACTGCTTTTTCTGACTCCAACGCATACCACGGAAGGGTCTTTGGTCATTTCATTATTAATTATTATGGTCTAATCAGTTAGTTAGAGGACAGAATGGATTTAATTTATATGGGCTTGGGTAATTATTTCCAGCTTCTTTAACTAACCAATGACTAACTAATAATTATTCAGTATATGGGCTATCATTCACCATATCCATGCAATTTAGTTCATTAAATGAGACACTTGCGCAGGTTGCAAGAAAACCACTGTTTTCATAACCGGATCGGATGGTCAAACCGGAAAAATTAGTGATTCATATTTGAACGGTTAACTAATATAGAACTGTTGGTTAAGTATTGATAGAATCGTTCATGCGCTATAATATACAAGACATCTATAATACATTAATTCATATGTGAATTTATCACTACCCATAAAAAATTATAAATTCCAAGCATAACTCATCAGTTCATTTCAATATACATACGGCACACAAATAGTGGCTGAATTGAATGGGAATACCAAAAATGGTATTGCCTTGCAATTTTATTCCTGCTACACCCTATCGTAGCTTTGCAATTAAGTATCAACAATTGCTACGGACAATAGAGCTAATAAGGTGGGATACATAATCATACACAACAACTAACTCTCACCCGACTACTATATAATCCATGGATTAGAGACATCCTGCTACTCCCACCCAACACATCCATCCTTTCCCGATTGATTATCTGTTAGCTTATGAATTAGTGCATGTATTCTATGACGACTGCCATTGTCGTTCTTCTTTTAATTTTGCTAGCAAGTCTTTATTCAAATGTTGTTGATGTCTTACTAAATTTAGTTTCTTTTTCCTACTCAAAATCGAGTTGCAATTGCCTCCGTACTGACAAGGGCGGAGGGAGAGGGTTAGAGGGTGAGTCCCAGGAGATAATATGAAAAATTACATATAATAGTTAATCGATATGAAAAATAACATGTATTTAAATGAGAATTGTTGATCTTTCAAATATTTGATATATGATTTATACTTTGTGTCTTGGCATATTTAATGTTTTCATAACGAGCTATATACAAACGAAAATGGTGCATATGATCCGCTCAAAATTAAAGATGTACTCATTCAATATCTACAACAAATTTTGACAAAATCATAGCTAATTTGTAAAATATTTTTATTTCAATCAGGGATAGAAAGAGTGTAATGGGTGGCTCCATAGGACGAAAATGAGTAAATTAGTATAATAGTTAATTGAGAATAGTGCACTTCTAATTGAGAATTGTTGACCGAGAGATCATGTGTTCGAATCTTGGTGCTCCAATTTGTTAAGCACATGCTATTCGAATTTCCAAAAACTTTAAGCATGTATAAGTTGGTTTTGGTTAACAGGTAAGTGTTAGTAAATACTAAATGCTATAAAATTCATTATTAAAACTTTACCAACAACTCGAGTTTATTGATGCTAAACAGTCTTGACAAAGAACATCATTGAAAAGCAAATATATATATCTAAATTGTAAATAATTTTTTGATACATATAGAGTGATATTCTTGATAGTTTCAACATATATTTAATTTATCAAGTTTTTTAAATAAAACATTATATTATGAATGATTTAAAAATATTTTATTGTATGTACTTTTTTCTAAATGGACTCACCCTCGACAAAATCCTGACTATGCCACTGCGTACTAACATATTTTTATGTATTGGTAGTAGAAATTAATATTTTAAATTCGCGTATATTCATGGTTGCGGGAGGATTAAATTGTATTTATGTGCTACAATTCTTCAATCTTTGCTTTTATATTTAATTTAGTTTTAGGGTAAATAAATTTGTTAGCCAAACCTTTCAAAATTTTCAAATTATTAGTCAAACGTATAAAAATATAAAATATTAGCCAATTTTTCGTAACACATCACAATATTAGCCATTTGTTAGTTATTGTTGTAATTTTGCAAATATTTTCTTAGTCAAAATACTAAAATTTTGGAATGTTGACCGCCACATGTCTCTTTGTCAGTATCATGTTGTCAAGTCAATTATTACTACCAAAACTGTTAACAGTAAGTTAAAATTTGACTAGTAATTTGTATTTTGAAAGTTTGACTAATAATTTGAAAGGCTAAATTGCAAGTTTGATCACTCGAATTGCTACAAAATTTCACATTTGGTCACTCGAATTGGTTTATTCCATTCGTAGTCACCTAAATTAGTTTAACAGTCCAAGTTCGGTCACCATCCATTAACCTCCGTCAGACTCCGTTAGTGTCCTCAGTTAACTGTTGATGTGGCTAACAGAGATGTCTAGCCACCCAATTTTAACCCAAGAAAAACAAAAATTGACCCGCCACGTCAAAAAAACCTGCCACCTCATATAAACACAACCCAACCTAAAAAAAACCATTAACCCACCCAGAAAAATCTACCCATCTGCCTTCCGCCTCTCTCTCTCTTCCGACATGGCTCTGTTTCCTCCATCTCCCTCCTTCATCTTCTCTCAACACGACTCCAGCAAGGAAGACGACTACGGCAAGATCCATCTCTTCTCTCGACTTCCGTCTCCAAGCAGCACCTCTTTCGTCGACTCTGCCAGCAGCCAATTCTGCTCGACCAAGGCAAAAAGGTCAGATACCCGATTACCCCAACCTCGCTCGTCAATTATTAATCTCTATCAATTAGTCTTCCAATCCATGTCTAGGTTGTTTTTTAGGGAAATTCAATTTCAATTTATTGGTTGGTTGGTTGGTTGGTTGGCCGGTTCAATATGTCTGTTGCTGCAGAGTTGGGCGGTGGAGGCAGGGAGGGGGGAGATATCGATGATGGAGGGAGCCAGGGATCTGGCGATCACATGGGGAGACACTCCCGCGTACTGGCGGTGGGAGATGGACGCGAATTCAAGGTTCGCCGGAGGGGAAGTGGCGGCGCTCGAAATCGTGTGGTGGTTGGAAATATGGCCAAGATCCAGACCCGGAGGCTATCGCCGGGAACCACGTACGCGGCCTACCTGGTGTTCAAATTGATGGGTGGACCGTGGACACATCGGGTTCGCGGGGCAACCCGTGAAAGTCAGGGTCGGGTTTGTGGGTGACGAAGCCCTGGGCAAGGAATCGGTCGCGCATGTGGATCCGGCGGTGGGGGCTACAACAAGCAGATCGAGGGGAAATCCCCCCGGCGGCGGCGGAAGCATGGTATAGAGGAAGAAGAAGAAGGGTGGATGGGTCACGGGTTCAATTCGGTTCGGGTATCTTATGTGTCTGGGTTATAATAAAGTAACTGATGGATTTTTTTTGTTTAAATTGGGTGACTAGGCATCTCTGTTAGCCACGTTAGCAGTAAACTGACGACACTAACGGAGTCTGACGGAGGTTAACGGAGAGTGACCGAACTTGGACTGTTCAACTAATTTAAGTGACTACGAATGGAATAAACCAATTCGAGTGACCAAACGTGGAATTTTGTAGCAATTCGAGTGACCAAACTTGCAATTTAGCCAATTTGAAAAGTTTGAAAGGTTTGGCTGATAAATTTTGGGTAGTGTCTATTTTTTATCCAAACCTTTTTTCAGATTCTTTTATATTATCCAAACCTATTAAAATACTATAAATAAATCAAATGTTAACTTCCAATTAGCAATTTTGTTAGTAATATGACTTGGCAACATGATACTGACTTGGAAGAGACACATGAAGGTCAATATTCCAAAATTTTAGTATTTTAACTCAAAAAAGAGTTACAAAATTATTAATGATAACATAAAAATGACTAATATTTTGACGCATTACGAAAGATTTGCCTAATTAATAGCAATTTTAATAGGTTTGGATAATATAAAAAATCATTAGCATAAAATATAGATATTACCCATAAATTTTATTTATCCTTAATTTTACTAACAATATAATAAACATGGTTATATATGCCAAGATTCTTATTATTTTAGAAAAAGCTAATCTCTGTTTCTTTAATCACACACTAAAAGAATCAAGATTTAGAATTATTACACATTTAGTGAGTTAATGTGATATCCAAAACAAAGCAAAAAAATTGTTTCACTGTTGTTATAATTGAAAATTAGTCAATATGCAATCCAAGTTGATATCTAATCTCACAACTTAAAAGAGGAGTTGGATTCTTCAATAGATGGTTTCGAAAAAGTGGCTGCCAATAAATCCCAAGACATATTATTCTTTGGCCAAGTATGATAGTTATCGGCTTAAAGTGTAAACTAACAACAACCACGCGAATTCAACTCTATGATTTGATTTTTTATTTTTTTTTTTTTTGTATTCCTACTTTTTTTCAAAATAATGATATTTGGGTGCAAATTCTCAAAGGGAAAATCAAGGACTTTCACCCCCTTTTACATGACTAGAGAGTTTACACACTATCAAGACTTTATGCCAGTATGACAACGAGACGTTATAGGCCAATTCTAAACAAATTGATCATCAAGTTTGAATCAAATATAGAAGCTGAAGCATGCGATGATATTTCAGCCATACCAGCTTGCAAATTTAATTTCATTTAACAATAAGTGCAACCAAAGTAAATTTCTTTCAGGTTCGAATTACTGTTCTCAATTCAAGTTTACTTCAATCTAATGTGTATACAGGCAAAAACATTGATAAACTTTTAAAATTTCCAGTCCACGAATGTTGTTGGTTAGCTTCAGTATTCAGGTTTATTGACATCTAACACTCACTGGAAAAATTAGCTGCGAGGAGGCTCCGACTAAAACTTCTCAAGTATTTAATTCCTTTTTCAGTTTTAAAATAGCATGCATTACTTTAAAACTAATCTCAAAAGGGTGTTGGGGATTGGTTCTCAAGATAATTCTCTTTGGTACTATAGTTACCCAATTAAATGCCATCCTTGCAAATATGGGTAACTACCCTCTCATCCTGGTCATTACATGTTGTTTCATACAACAGTAAGGAAACATCTTTATTACTTTGTCATTATTAACCAAACCATTTGTAAATAAATATGACATTTAATTAAAAGATCAACAAATTTGCAAGCGAGAAAACCTTCTCCTCATTTGGAGCGACTTTGCTATTGGAAAATCCAATAATTCCGGAATCATTATTTTTGGGGCAAGGTGAAATTCATGACAATTTCATCACTGTATTTGGTTGCCCGTTATGATTTTGAAGTTTCAAATAGAAAAATGAATTAATTATCATATTATTTTGTATAAAAGCGACTGAGATTGGCCAACTCTTGCAGTGAAAAGCTCGACATCATATCAACAACTAATTTCAACCAAATCAATGCAAAAGCTAATTCCAACACAATGATTGAATGAGAGGATTATCAGTTTCTCTTCTCTTACAAACTGAGGGAGTGATATTGAAGTTCGATAGCAAGCTCACATATGACATTGCTAAGCAATAAGTGAGTACACGATTTCCATGATGGGGAAGTATGAGAAGAGCAAAACTCATACGATCTTCCTGACTTGATCGAGTTAAATTATACTGAAAATAATAATAGATATTAATTATAAATTTGTGATATTCTTTATTTGATTTGGAGTATATTTGGAACATGCATCCTCTGATTATTATTTAACAAATCTGCCTACCACGTCTACTTCTCACATGTTGATTTTTCAAGGCAATTTATTGCGTCTATTGTCCAGTAAATAAATTGCTATGAATGGTCTACCAGGTTTAAATTATACTTAGTTATAGAATCAAGCATACAGTTCTTCAATTTTTATATCATGCAAAGATGATACTCAATTGTAATCTTTAACTTTGACAAATGTATTTAATTGTATAACTCAAAACTTCAGAGGAACTTTCCTTCATTACCCACCTAGCATGCATACAATTGTATACTTGATGTATTATCAAGTGTATACGTTTTTAATTTGTATACCATGCACAAATACATGCCTTCAATTTTTAAATAATGCACAAATTACACTTATTTGTATTCTTTAATCTATAGGCAAATGCATGTTGTTTATAACATAAACCTCCGGTAGAACTTCGCTTTCTTTCACACTAACATGCAAGCAATTGTATCGAGCTACAATTTTAACTCTAATATATTTTAAATACATATGATTCTAGAAAATCACACCATATATTATGCTTTTGACAATGATCTTAATTCATAATGTTAATGTAACATAACAAGAATGAGACCGTTAATGGTGGATGTAATAGATCTGGTGCTAGAGGTGACAATTATCTTCAGCAGAAGAAATACATTGTTCACGAGGAAGATACAAGTACCAATTATTAGTAGAAAGAACAAATCTGGGATATTGTTCATAACTTGGATGAGGTAAATACTACTCTTGTTCTAATTTGAAAGATGTAAATACGACTGCAATGAAAAAGATAATTGGTATTTGTAAAAAGTTTACCATCAAATATTTGGAAAAAATCCAAAAGTACCACTGTTTAAAAAAAGAATTCCAAAAATACCACTCAACCCCAAAAAATTCCAAAAACACCACCCTTTTTCAAAAATCGCCACCCCACCCTGCGGTTTACATGAAAACCGCTTGTCGGGGCGCGATTTTCTATGCAAACCGCGGGCCTAGGGGGCGGTTATAAAAAAAAATTGGACCAAACCGCTGGGTGGTGTGGCGGTTTGGCCCAAAATGCCACCCCACCCAGCGGTTTGGTCCAATTTTTTTTTTTATCAACTCCTAACTTCGGTCGAAACTTCAAACGAACGTAACTTTGCACTCGGGTATCTGATCGTAGCGATTATTTTTCATTTCGCATAACTTTTTAAGATCTACAACTTTTACTAGGATGAAATTTTCAAAACAGGAATTATTTGTGGATATAAGGGACCTTGAGAATAACTTTACCTTTACTTTTCACAAATCCATGTACATTTTGAAATTATGATTATATTAAAAGTTGTAGATCTTGAAAAGTTATGCGGAATCAAAAATAAATTCATGACGTTCAGATTTTGGAGCATAAAGTTATGGCCGCCCAAAGTTTGACGAAAGGCGAGACCCGGCGGTTGCGGCTTGCAAAATCTCAAAAAGTTTGCGAGCTCCATTTTTTGAATCCGAATAAATTTTTGAGATCTTGCAAGCCGCAAACCGCCGGGTCCCGCCTTCGTCTCGAAAAAACGTCATTTGCCACCCCGAACGAGCCTTTTTATTTTATTTCGTCAAACTTTGGGCGGCCATAACTTTGTGCTCCAAAATCCGAATGTCATGAATTTTTTTTTATTCCGCATAACTTTTCAAGATCTACAACTTTTAACATAATCATAATTTCAAAATGACATGGATTTGTGAAAAGTAAAGGTAAAGTTATTCCCAAGGTCCCGTATATCCACAACTAATTCCTATTTTAAAAATTTCATCCTCGTAAAAGTTGTAGATCTTGAAAATTTATGCGAAATGAAAAAAACAATCGCTACAATCGGATACCCGAGTTCAAAGTTACGTTCGTTTGAAGTTTCGGCCGAAGTTAGGAGTTGATCGGGAAAAAAAAATTTGGACCAAACCGCTGGGTGGGGTGGCGGTTTTGGGCCAAACCGCCACCCCACCCAGTGGTTTGGTCCAATTTTTTTTTTATAATCGCCCCCTAGGCCCGCGGTTTGCATAGAAAATCGCGCCCCCGACAAGCGATTTTCGTGTAAACCGCAGGGTGGGGTGGCGGTTTTTGAAAAAGATGGTATTTTTGAAATTTTTTGGGGTTGGCTGGTATTTTTGGAATTCTTTTTTTAAACAGTGGTATTTCTGGAAAAAGTCCCAAATATTTGTGCTCAATAAAATGTAGGAAAATAAGGAAGATTTCATTGAAATACAAGAGAGAGAAAGAAGACGAAATTAATAGGGTTATAGGTATAATATGCCCCTCTACTATGACGTTTTATCAAACATGCCCCTCTATTGTTTTTTACATCAAACAAGCCCCTGTAATTTGGAAAAACTATCAAACATGCCCTCAGTTGAAATTTCCATTGAAAAAATCGTCAATCATGGTTGAACCGAGATTTAGATGACCTGACATCGATAAATGGGAGGGGAAATGTCAGTTTTGACCCTTGCTTTATTTCTCTAGGTCTCATCAAAGTGAAATTATTATAATTATTTGG